TTTTTTTTTTTAAAGATTTTATTTATTTATTTGAGAGAGAATGAGAGAGAGCACATGAGAGGGGGAGGGTCAGAGGGAGAAGCAGACTCCCTGCCGAGCAGGAAGCCTGATGTGGGACTCGATCCAGGGACTCCGGGATCATGACCTGAGCCGAAGGCAGTCGCTTAACCAACTGAGCCACCCAGGCGCCCTCCTGCTGTCCTTTCTTACATAAATGACAGCACACCAAATACACCTTTTAAAAAAGTACGTATTTTTTGGAGATCTCTCCGTAGCAGTAGATACCTTTCCCCTTTTCTGACAGGACTGTGACACCTGCACGCTACAGATACACCCAATTACCTGATGAGGGACACGGAAGTAGTGTGCAATCTTGGGAGACTACGACCGTCCCGGAAACATACTGTTACCAATGCTATGTGCTCTCAAACGTTTGTATTTGTGCCAGCTTAATATGTAAAAATAACTCAAAGTGGTTCTTAATTTACTGTTCATCAGATTTCATACGGCTGCTGGCTTCAGGGAAGTCCCTACCTAATCTAGCCCAAACCCAAGAACCATCTCTAAGAATACCTCTTTGCAGTCCTCTCTCTTCTAAGGAGCCAAGCAACCAGACTCCCCCAAGCTTCCCAAGATGCCTCCTAGGACCCCAGATCCCAGACTTCTCAGGCAGACAGGAACTTAGTCCCTTGGGGAAGGCAGAGTGATGAAGCAGAGTTTCCGGCCCCACCACCGAATGTGTGGCCTTGAGATAGTTAATCACCATCCCTGGGCCTGAGGATGTTGTCATACAAGATTTCTAAGGCTCTTCACTAAGAGAAGAGGTGAGAAAGGAAAGGTAGGGTTACTCTGCTCACCTGCAAGAGTTACCAGCTAACTGTGTTTCCCAGGGCAGGGATGGGGGTGGGAAGGGGTGGGTAGCAGGGCAGCCACTGTAGCTGCCTGCTGATTTACCTTCTTGCCACTGAGAGAGTGGCCTCTCCCTGCTCCAGGAACTCCATCATCGTCTTGGGCAGTGTGGGGTCAAAGGCGTTGAGGTTGACGACCCCCCCGCCATTCCCTGACTCCAAGCCCAGGTGAGGTCCCATCAGGTGGGGTGCCTGGAACTGCACCAGTCTCATATTTCTGGAGGGTTGAAAGGGCCACTTCTGAGCCTGCAGCAGAGTTTTGAGCAACCTTCTGCAGGAGACCAGCATCAGAACCTATGAAGAAAACCGTGGGTCCTAGGGGACAGAGGGAACAGAAACCACCATCAGGGTCCACAGAGTTCCCCGAGCTGCAGCCCAAGCCCTCTCACCCCATCAGCCATTCCTGGCACAGCACAGTCCTGGAAGTGGTACACATTTATTAGTTATTTCACCCTGTTACACTGTATCAGGTGATTTTTTTGCTCAATTCAATGCGTGTAATGAAACATTTCTAGCGGAGTGACTACTTCATGCCAGGCACTAACCTAGATGGCAGGGGTTCCGGCGTTCCTTCGACCGGTGCTTTCTGCAGGCTCCCGCTGTAGCTGGCACTGCCGAAGCACTGACCTGCCCAGCCCTGCCACCCTGCTCTCAGGGCAGACTAACGACTGATGGCATAAGGAAGATCCAGCAAGTGGGACTACTGCTGTGAAGATAAACGGTCCTGCCTTTGTCTAGTTTCTTGAGGAAGTGATGCTGAGCTGAGCTGGGCTGGGCTAAACTAAGCAGGACTAGAACTTAGCTAAGAGTGGGGCCCTGCATGGACAAGTGACCACTGGTGAAACTGGCTTCACAGCTGTCATAGGCAATTTTTTAAATGCCAGTTTGATCCTTTTACCCTTCTACTGAAATACATTACCAAGCCAAAAGCCCTACCAGGCTATCCTAGGCTTTTAAGAGCAGCCCCCACAAACCTCTCCAGACAGTAATTAGCTTCTCCTGTTGCAGTTCAGGCTACCTGAGGGAAGAGGCTGCAGACAAAGGGCAGGGCCTAAGCCTGACAGGCATCACTGGGCTATCTCCTTTCTGGGTTCCAGGACTACGTCTGTCTCTCACTGCTCAGTCCACAGTGCCCAGCACACAGAAGGCTCTACCCTACACTCTGCTGAATCAACAAATGCCAGGAGCGGCGGCTTGACTTTTCACTACTTGGAAAAGCTTGGTGATTGTCAGCATGGCTGTGTCTTCCCTTCTCAAATCACTCAGAAGGTTTCAACAGGGCTCAGGTCCTGTTTTGAGTTCTAGGCTTTACTCAAAGACAAACCCCATTCTCTTGTTTTGTTTCTAATTTAAGCCTGACCTTCATTCCAAACAGTCCCTGCCCTGCATGGGTCCTTGCTTTAAAAAGTAACTATGCTCAGGCACGTGGAGGTAGTCCCAGACTCCTGGTCCTCACCCCGATGGTTCAATTTGCCATATTCAGTTAAAGACCCAGGTCACTGATCTGACCACTGTAGTGGCCAAGGAGTTCAACCAGAAAACCAGGAGCTTTGAAACTTCCGCCCTCCTGTCTTACACAGCCATGCTACTGTCAAAAATCTGTTCAAGCCAAAATGCATGCATTCAGACACTCTACACACTGAATAAATAGTTATTGTTCCCACTGAATGCCAGGTCTTATTTTAAGTGCTTTACCTACAATGTCTGATTGAATTCTCTTGACAGTTGTGGAAGGTAGGTACTGTTAGTTCCATTTTACAGATGAAAAAAACAAGGCTCAGAAAGATGAAGGGATCTGCCCAAGTTCCCAAGGAGAGAAAATAGCTGACACTTGAATCCAAGTCCAGGTAACACTGAAATTCTTGGCTTGGGCTAATGTGTCCTAGAGGTGGTGGGGGTTGGACTTCAGGATATCTCCTAGAGGCCCACTGACACCCTGTCTTCTGTCAGCCTGGAAAAACTTGGTCATATGCTGGCTGCCGCTTCAGGGATATGGCTGGTCACCTGCTTTCCAAGATAACCCCAGGCCCCACGGACTATGCCCTTCCCAGATGACAGGCACATTCAGGTTCTCATTCTGCCCTACAGCAATTCCCTCAGGTACAATATCCCATTTTACAGAAGCGGGCAATGAGGCTTAAAGAAATCATCTGCCAAAGTAGCAGTTAGAAAGTGGCCCTGGTGCTTCTGCGGTAATTACGATGCGACAGAACACGAGCTCAATTCAACTCCTGGAAAAGGGTCCTTAAGGAAAGACAAAGATTCGAGGTGGAAACAGTACAAGCATCGCAGCTTGAGAGACGTGGGACCGTGTCCCACCATCCACTTGCTTGGCACCCCTCACCAGTCCCCCAGCTTTGTCTCCGGCACTCACGAGGGCCCGCCCCGCCGGGTCCCTGTGGTCGCTGCGGCCCGGGATTCCGGTCCAGTCCTGACCTCAGCCGAAGACCTGGAGGGAGGCTGAGACCCGGCCCGGCGCACAACTCCAACCTACCTGGCCGCGGCAGCCGGTCTTGCGGGGTGCCCTGAGCTGTCGGGCGCGGGCTCACGGGGTTGGGGGGCCAAGGTCAGCAGGCGCCTAGACACCAGCACCGCGTTCTGGAAACCGACTCGCCCGAGGATCTGCAGGACTAGCGCGCCCAGCTGCTCCACGAAGACTTTCGCAGAGGCGGGCGCTCCTTGGTGACGCCAGCGAACGGCAGCCAATAGAAGGGCGCCTCATTCTATCCCGGAAGTCAAGTCACGGAGGGGGCGGGCCTAGCGCTGGAGGGCAGGTAGCCTCTCGGGTTTTTTCAGGCGTCTGGGCGGGGCCGACGCAGGTGAGGCCAACCGCCGCCCGAGGCCAATAATCCCCGCTACTCAAAGTCGGGGCTCCCCGCACCTGCATGAATCTGACAGTAAGTGCTTCCTGAAAATCTGCGCCCTGGACTCCTCGCTAGCCTCACCTGCGTCGGGCCCTGCTTCGGGCCAGGCACCATTTTGATTATTGGGAAAAGAGTGGAGGAGACCAAATTATGGCGTCCTGGTTCACAACGACGAGTACTTGTGTCTTCTGATTCTGATATATCACTGAGAAGAGGAGGAATGATTGCACCCATTTTACATATGGGAAACCCGAGGCAGAAGTGCTTTGCTCAAGGTGACACGAGGAGTGTGAGTAGTGGAACCAGCATTCTGGACCCCAAGTACAGCCCTTTACTCCCATTCTCAAGCAGCCTTGTCTTCACATACACTGTGTTGGGCCTAGGGCAGGACAGTGGGAAGCATAACCTCTAGCATCAAAGAACAGGCCTTCAAGTGCACAGGTGGTTTAATTAAACAGGCAGTCATAATCCAGTAGGACTGTAGGCATCTGGCATATGGAGACACGTAAAGGGCTCTGCGCAAGATGCCCAGGACTTAACCCTGGACCAGATCACCCAGGGTTTTACTTGTCCCAAGAAAGAGTTTGAGCCTTATCTAAGCACACAGGAGGCCTCACAGGGGATGTGCCATGGTTAGACTTGCATTTGAGAACTTTTGCCCGGCCACTCCTCCAAGGCGAAGTGTCTAGATACGAGTGGTGCAGGTGACAGCAATGGTGTAGGTGGCTTGGTGTGTGGCAGAGACAGGGGAGAATCCAGAGATATTGAGAAGGTAGAACTGACAGCCTTCAATGATGATGACAGGAAGTGGGAGTGGAGGGGGGAGGAGGTCCAAGGCCTACTCCTAGGGCTCTGGCTGGTAAATGGCACTGCCATTCATGGAGACGAGGGGTCTAGAGGGGCAGCAGGTCTGGGGAGAGGATGGTGAGCTCAGTTTTGGATGGGTTATATTTAATGTGCCTGTGACACAGTCAAGGAGGCACTGCAGGGTGGGCAGTTGGAGACACAGGTCTTGGAACTTAGGGAATTAGCTCGAAGGTAGAGGTCAGCATACTGATGGAAATGGAACTTGTGAGGGTAAGTATGATCAGGAGGAATGTGGTAAAGAGAGCCTGGCATAAACCCCAGTCAGGAGACCCATCATGTAAGGATAAGCCAGAAAGACTGAAGGGTAACAGGGAGACAGGGGAACTCATAACTTAGGCAAAGGTTTGGTACTGCACCTTCCAAATGCCAAGGAGAGGACTTCTGCTTCTGGACGAGAATAAAACAGGTGATGTCATTAAAGACCATGGTCAAAAAGATAATAGGATACTATGAACAAATCTACACACATAAATTTGACAGCCTCAATGAAATGGACCAATTCCTTGAAATACAGCCTATCACAATTCACCCAAAATGAAATAGATAATTTGGATAGCACTGTATCTATTAAGGAAATTGAATTTGTAACTTAAAAACTCCTGAAAAAGAAACATCCAGTCCCAGATGGTTTCATTGGAGAATTCTACCAAATGTTTAAAGAATGAACACCAATTCTACATAATCTATTTCAGAAAATAGAATAGGAAGGAACATGTCCCAATTCATTTTATGAAGCCAGTATTACCCTGATACCAGAAAACAAAGACAGTACAAAAAAGGAAACTACAACCAATATCTCCCATAAATACAGATGCAAAAGTCCTTAACAAAAACATTAGCAAATATAATTCAACAATATATAAAAATAATTCCCTACCATGACCACACGGGGTTTATTCCAGGAATGCAAGGCATGTTCAATATCCAAAAATTACTCAGTATAATCCACCATACTAATAAGCTAAAGAAAAAAATCACGAAGTCATATCAATTAATGTAGAAAAAATTTGACAAAATTCAACATCCATTCATGACAAATACTCTCAGAGAACTCAGAAGAGAACTTCTTCAACTTGATAAAGAACATCTAACAAAAAAAAAAAAAAAAGAACATCTAACAAAAAGCCTACAGTTAACATCATAGTTAATAGTGAAAACGTGAATGCTTTCCCCCTGGAATTGGGAAGAAAGAATGCCAGTTCCTAACACTTTTTTTTTTTTTTAAAGAATGATTGATTGATTGTGCAAGTGGGGGAAGGGGCAGAGGAAGAGAGAGAAACTTCAGCAGACTCCCGAGTGCAGAGTGTGACTCCAGGCTCCATCTCAAGAGCCTGAGATCCTGACCTGAGCCGAAATCAAGAGTCGGACACTTAATGGACTGAGCCACCCAGTCACCCTGCTACCACTCCTAATCATCATAGTACTGAAAATTCTAGCTAGTGCAATAAGGCAATGAAAGGAAATAAAAAGCATATAGATTGGAAAGGAAGAAATAAAATTGTCCCTATTTGCAGATGAAATGGTTGTCTTCATAGAAAATCCATAGCAGGGAATACCTCCTGGGAATAATAAGTGAATTCAGCAAGGTCACAGAGTACAAGATCAACATAGAAAAAATCAACTGTATTTCTATATACTAGCAATGAAAATGTGCATCCTGAAATTTAAAATATAATACTATTTGCTCAAATAAAAAGAAATACTTAGGTGCAAATCTTAACATTAACAAAACATGTGCAGGACCTGTATGCTAAAAACTATAAAACACTGATAAAAAAAATCAAAGATCGGGCACCTGGGTGGCTCAGTTGGTTAAGCAACTGCCTTCGGCTCAGGTCATGATCCTGGAGTCCCTGGATCGAGTCCCGCATCGGGCTCCCTGCTC